TTAGGATAATTGTGTGGAACTCAGTGTGGGTTTACATCTCAACATGATCAGCAGAACCGGACCTTAGAGAAAAATCAACAGCTTAAATCCGTCGTTCTGACTGCCGCTAAGGTATGCACATGTCAGTCCATGTTTTGTTTCTCCACATGTAAATAAATAAATCAGCAAAGCAGCTTCCTTCTGAGTTTCTCCTTTTATGTTCATGAGCTCCATGCTCTGTTTGCTCTGGAGCACATGCACAAATACAGAGTGTCTTCGGCTCGTGTTTGTCTAAGTTTTTACTTCCTGCCCTGATTGATCCTGATCCAACACACACCGAGGCCCGCTTCCACTGCTCCTACATCCACACGAAAGAAAACAGGACGGAGGATGACACGCAGCTGCTTTTTTTTAATAGTTTTTTTTGTCCTTTGTCAGTTATTTTAGGTACAAATCCTGACCTCTTCTGTTTGCCCAAAGATTGTTTGTTTTTTACTTTATTGTTTGAAAAGACAACAATCATAGGCTTCTTCTGTCATTTACACAAGGTAAATATAGACAAAAAGATGCTACATATTATATATACTGAATAATAAGCAGTGCTGAGATGAACACTTTTTTTCTGAACTTGACATCAGCTTAATATTTCAAACTTATCTAAACCCCATAAGATCAGATTAGCACAAACCACTGAACACAAAGATAAGGAGCTTGTAAAAAAGATCTCTACAGCTGGGTTTCCATGTAAGCATTAACCTCATAGATATCCGTGCTTAATCATCACATTAAAGGCCTCTTTTTTTCTTGCATCCTCCTACGCTCTCTTATCATTCTAATAAAGCCAGTAAAGACAACTCAGAGGCCTTGAAAGCTCAGATATCTCCTAGAGGTTGAACTAAAAACCCTGCAGCTAGACTGAAGTGTATCAAATTTCATGTTTACATTTTCTCTGTGTTCATTCCAAACGCTGCATACTTTATTCTGTAAACAGAGCTTAGAGTGAACATAAAATTGATGAAAAGCTGTTTTTTTTATGGAATTTTCTGGATGTTTGACTCAGTGTTTATTTCAGTGGATTACTGCAACATTCAGAGAACGCATTGAAAAAACTCAGCGGCTCTGAGATAAATTTGTTATTTTTGACCATCATCTAAACATAGCTCATAGAAACATGGTTGACTGCAACAAATTCCCCCTCTTTACCCACACCCACCTGCAGCCACTGTCCATCGCCATGCCAACATAGAGAAATGAGCTTTGAGACAGCTCATTTAATCATCAGACTGAGCCAGAAGCTTTCAGAGTTTATGGAAAATGTGTCCCACACCCATATTTAAACGTTTGACCCACAGCTGATCCAGGCCACTGCTTTATTCTGACCAGGATATGAATTCAGAGTCTGATTCTATGTGTCACTGCATAAAGTAGATGGATGGTCTTAGCTTGAAAGTGTCATTGGAGAATGGATTGTATAGAGAAGGTAAATATGTTTGTTTTGAACAAGAAGAAATGGAATAATCTTTGCCAATGAAAAAAAAAATAATCTAAAAAATGTGATACACTAAAATAGAAACTACAATCTCTGATACAGTGTGGTATTTTTTTTTCTTATTTAGGGATCTCTGGCCGGAGGGTAGTTTCATTGTGAGATGGTGCCACATATATAATCTGAACTGAAACTATCTCAACTGTTTTCTAGTTGTCACCCTGTTCATATTCCCTTATGCAATCCACTCAGAGGCCCAATAAGCCAATAATCATGTTTACAGGTTTTTACACTGAATAGATCAAGCAGAACTCTTAATAAAACACACTCTTGTGTAACACCTACATCGAGATCTCAATTTCCAGAGAAGTATGTTGAGTAACTTTATCTTCTGCTTTTGTCCTTTAAAAAGCTGCAGGGCTGTTTCCTGGTATCTGAGCTGCGAGGTTCTGAGGAGGATTTACACGAGCCTTGGGTCAGCCAGAATAAGCCACTTTGTTTATAGTTTGCACAGAGTAAAGCATTGGTAATGAGTGGGAGTTTATTGGAAATAAAGCAACCTAAACAGGAGGTTTAAGCTCAGAGGATGCATTTTAGTTCTTAAGAAAACTGCAGAACAAGTTCAAACCATTTACCCTCTGCAGCTGTAGTTTTGGTCTATTTTGGTGGGTAAAATGTATGGAGTTAATTTTATTCCATTATTTTTGCAAACTAAAAACATGTTTTGTAAATTGAAATTTGAAAAAGAAAAAAACCTTTCAAAAGGTTTTGAGAGTTTTTATTTTACTTTTCTGTTTATTCTGATTTAGTTTTTCGGATTTCTTTTTACATTTTTTTCCTATTTTATTTATTTCAAATCATTTTTCTTGAAATAAAATTAAAAAAGAAAAAAACTTTTTTTACAGGTTTTATATTTTCAAATAGAATATTCTATTAAAAAAATTGACAGATTTTATACTTACATTTTTTCTTTTTTGCCGATTGAGTTTTAGGAATTCATTCTTTTCATTAAAAAAATGTTAATAAAAGGCTTTTTATAGACCATATTTTCTTCACCTTTGGGGGCGGGCAATTCTGTGGAGTGAGGAGCAAAGACGCATTTTTATTGGTCTGCATTGACTTTAGAAACACCATTTTTTATTGGTCAATGTGTTAAGGGTGAGCGTCTGCATTGGGTTTCAAGTGAAGAGAATCTGTTTAGAGCAATTTTAAAAGAAATGAAGCTTAAGCGTAAATTCAATCTGGAAGATTCTTATTAGCTTCACCTGAACGACCTGCGATGTCCTTTGTTCAGCTCCAGCCAATCAACTCGGGGGCCGCCCCTTCTCCGAAGCCAATCATCTTTTAATGTCCCCTTCGTTTAGCTCCTGGCCCAACTTCTCTCTCCCACACACAAGCAAACTTTCACCCACCTCGCCTCATCTCCTCCCTCATTCTCAGACTATTCTCATTCCCACTCTCCCGCTG